GAAAGCTAATAATTCGTCAATATTATATGTAAAGTATGCATGGATAATAATATACACAGATTATATTTAAAAAAATAATGAAATACTGGAAAAAATATTATTATATATAATTATTATATAAATTATTATATGTAATCTGACCAAATATAATTATGTAATAATACTAACAAGTGCTAACAATTACAAATATGTACTAAAATAATAAAATATTTAAAACAGATTAAGAAATGTTTCTAATAATAAAAAAAAAATTTTCTTTACGTTGTTCTTATAATGATTTTGTGAAAATTATAATATATAATAAAATAGAATAAACAAATAATATAAATTAAAATAAACGAAAATAATCCAATTTTGTATACTTTGAATTTCGGGTAAATTAGCAATAAATGTACTTTGTTATCTATAATTCTGCATGTAATAAAGGAAAAATAACGTATGTATTTTTATATTTTAATCTAACACACTTATTCGCAATTTGATCCAAATTCCAAGTCTGTAAATTGCCTAGATTACAGACTTCATAAATATTTAATTTAGAAGATTTGCAGGGTTTAGTATAAAAATCTTTAAGAGTCTTATACTTATTTCCAACTACAATAATATTCTCGTTAGACGCAGCAAAATTGAGGATAACTATAATACTTCCATCCAATAGACGACAACAATTATCAGGTTTTTTATTTGTTAAGATAAATTTTTTAAACACGATTTTATTAAATTGATTATAATTCTGACAATTGATAAGTGGACCATTGCAATGCGGATTTAAAAGTTGAGGTTTATGTTGTCTTAGATTACAATTTATGTTTATATTAGGATTTATATAATTATTTTGTTCAGTTATCCGGCAAACAATTTGCTCCAAAGGTTTATCATTTTTACGAATCATTTTTAAAATTGATTGCATATAATTCTCGAATGGAAAAGCACTAAATTGTTGTAATGATCCGAATTTTTTTACGTCGTCACAAAGATGTAATAAATTATGTGTATTATGTGATGCATTTTCTTTACCGTATAAAATAATTAATGTTTCAACGTAATATCGTAATAATAATGTAGCGTAATCTAAATACAGTTCAATATACTTTGAATTGGATAAAATAGTAGCAGCTATGTGTAAAGTTAAAAAATTTAAATATTTATCGCGACTTAATACAGATTTTAATACAACTGGCCCAGTATATAATAAAAATGTTCTATATTCAGTAGCTTTCCACCTTTTGCTTTCTAATATTGATCTTGGTTTTCTATTAAACTCACATGGTATATTATATCTTTGCTTTTCTAAAAATGTTGATATTATCGATTGTTGTTGCGATGATAATTTAGCATGAGAAAGAGATTTTCCATGGCACCATAACAAAACTATTTTTTTAACTTCTCCTAAAAAAAGTAAATGCATTGGATCTGATGGAAAATCAGACACCATATCTATATTTGGAATTAATTCTATTATCGATGTACCTGTATGATGATCTGACTGTGATTTTAATCTAAATTCTTTATCTGTTCTTACATTTGAAATTTCTAAATATGGAAAGCACACTCTATTTAAATAATATTCGCCTTTAACTTCACATTTTGTACATGAATAATAACCTGAATGACCTTTTGTATATTTTATAAAAGATAGAGCTGGTACATCACAAATAAAAGCTTTAATTTTAAATGGATATATTATTCCGTTAACTGTTATACCATGATTAATCAAATTTTGAGCTTCTTTTACAAAAGATTCTAAAAATTTATTAGCATCTGTAGGCTTTTCATACCCATGATAAATTCCAATAATACCAATATTATTATAATTATTAGATAAACTACATAAAATAGGATAGACTTGACTCCCTGAACTTTTGGATAAAGGCAAACCGTCGATATTTATGATAATTTCGATTATCTCTAAATCTTTAAAAGAATATTGCGATGTTTCTAAAAGTTTCTCCACGCAATAATTAATTCCAAAATGATAATAGCGTCCTGGTTCAACATCCTTTGCATTTACTTTTCTCATAGTACCTAATAAAGTACGAGCATCTCGAGGAAGTTCAGAATATTTCGGTTTTAATATTGCAATCAATTCATTTAATGCGACGTGACTTATTCGATTTCTAATAGTCCACCTTTGTAATTGTGATGTAAAACTTACATTATCTTCACGATGTTTAAAATTATCTAAAAAATTATTCTCATTAATAAAGGTATTAATATCTACATTATTATTATCGCTGCTAAGAGCCTCTTCATCATTATTTATTAATATAGAATTATCACTATAACCGTTAGATGTTAACGATAAATTTTTATCCAATTTTTTATTTAAATTAGTCGTATTTACGAGTTTATCTCTCTCAAGAACTAATGATGATAATTCACTAATAGTACTTGAAACTGAAGGTGTGTTAATATTTAAGGAAAAGTTACGATTAGATTCTACAATATTAATAGATGCATTAGCTATCTCTTTCGCATGTGTATAATATTTTCTATTTACTTTAGGCATTTTTGATATGATTATTATTAATGATACTCACTGAACGAATGGCTTCTATCTAATCACTCCAATTAAAATAAAAATAAGAACTGAACAGGTACAATTTGTGTTGTATCTGCAAAACATAAAGATCTAACCTTATTATATGTAGCCATTGGTGTCAATCCGATTCTATTTCGGATCTTTAATCAAAGCTATTATTCAAGACATACTTACCGTTTTATTACGAGTTCCTCAATTTTAATAGAAGAATAAGAACTAGATCGGTATAATCTGCGTACAAAATAAAGATCTAACCTTATAATTTGTACTCGGTATCAACCCAATTTTATTTCTCATCTTTAATCAAAACCATATTCATATACAATTTTAACAAGATCTACTTACCGTTTTTCCTCGAAATGCGCACAGAACATTTATATTAGTTCGAAAAAATAAGAAATTAAAATATGGAAAACAAGCAGGAGCAGATTGTGAGTTCCTCGATTTGGCGGGATGACGGGTCGTAGCTTGTAGCTTTTCTCGCGCATGCGCGTTGAGTGAGGTATCGATAAAGTATGTTAATCAAATAAATAAGATCCTATATATATATATATATATATATATATATATATATATAAATAACTCGCCCTATGTATCCTTTTTAAAAGTTTTTGGAAAATTAATTAAAAACAAAATAAAAATAATATGCATAAATTATATTAATATAATTATTTTCTTACGTATATAATATATACTTTATTTAACTTGTTTTCTGCGAGATTCACTAAACTGAAGTATCCATCACACACACACACACACAATATAAATATGCGTGATGACTATATAAACGACACCATCGCGTGTTGCGAAAATTTGACATCCACTATCGGACATCCTATAGACGTCCAAATATTGACCATTAAAAGATGTTTGAAATCAGATATACGATGGACGTCCATTTTATGTCCATGGACGTGCGGACGTAAAACAGACATAAAATGAACGTCCATAGGATGTACTGTGCTATCTGGGAAATAAAAATTATATAAATTATATATTGTTACGTCCCCCGCGCTAAAAATTTTACCCACTGCAGATAAATACGATTAACTAATGTACCGATATCAGATCTCGACCACACCATCTTAAGCTAAAACGTAATGTTACCGACCAATCTAGTCGGCATCCTCAAGCTAGTTCACGAAAACGCCGAGAGATGGCCAAGACGCCACCCCCACCACCGGAAAACACCCCCACGAGTTTAACCCTTTCCATCCCTGACCCGCACAAACCAAGGGACCTCGGGTCAGTCCCAAAAATCTTCACTTCTATTTCGAGCGCCGAGCGAGCCACTTCTCTTCCAGAAGTGCTCCTCAGACCCGCGATACTATTTCCAATCCGAGCGTGTTTCTATTTCCGATTTCGTTACCATTTCCGACAACCTATTGTGATTTTACTATTTCTCAATTGCGATACTACTACCGTTTATACTACTATATCCAGCGTCCGCGCTCTCGCGTCCGCGCGTCGTAGCTCTCGAACCGAAGCGACACTTGTAATACTATCATCGTAAGTAAATAAAATTGTAAAGCATATACATACATACATCGGTGTTCATTAAATACAACAGTAGGTATACTATGTCAGTTCTAACCCAGGACCTCTCAGGGGAGGTGAGGCGCAAGGGGAACCGCGGTGCGGGGGGAGTGACGTCACGCGCGGGGAAGGAGGAACCGCGGCGCGCGGTGGATGACGTCACCCGCGGGGAAGGGGGAACCGCGGCGCGAGCGATGGACGAGGGGGTCCGCGCAGTGAAGGGGGATCCGCGGCGCGAGCGATGGACGAGGGGGTCCGCGCAGTGAAGGGGGATCCGCGGCGCGAGCGATGGACGAGGGGGTTCGTGCGGTGAAGGGGGATCAGCGGAAAGAAGACGGTAGTGTGAGAAGGACAGCGCAACGTATGGGAAAAGGACAGTGCAAAGTGTATGAAGAGGACAGTGCTACGAGTGCGACAAGGATGGCGTTAACGTGGAACAAGGACGGCGTATAGGTGGGAAAAGGACGACGCAAAGGTAAGTGAACAACGAGTATATTCTAAGCGAAAGAGAGAGAACGATAATATCGAGAATAACAACGCGTGCGAGAGAGAACGATAGCGCAAGAACAACGCGAGTGAGAGAGAACGCATATGAAAGAGAGAACGATAGCGTCAAGACGACGTGTACAAGAGAGAGAACGATAATATCGCGAGACTTACTGAATCCATATCTTCATCGTCGATGATGATGATTACGTCTTCTTCGGCCATTGCACTAACGTAACACACACAAGACTAACGAAACGCAAAGAACAACGAAATAATATTCTAATGTCGCAGACTCCTCTTCATTATATATCTTTTTTTTTTTTTTTTTTTTTTTTTTTTTTTTTTTTTTTTTTTTTTTTTTTTTGAAGTAGATGCGATTCCCACATCTACTAAAAGGAAGGCACGTCGCGCTATCGATAGTGATTCCGACGATATGAAGCCTCCGGATCCTAAAATTCGGGGAACCACTCTCCTAGCTAAAATAAAATCTAAGAAGAAAATGTCAAATGACATTACAGAAAGTTTGGACACTACTGAAGATCCTGAAGAGTCGAATGCAGATTTGACGCAGAACACGGACGGAGAGGAAGTCCAGAAGAGGAGGGTTGGAAGATCCAAAAGGAAAGTGAAGGCCATTGACCCCATCATGGCAGAAAAAGAAATCCAGGGCAAAATTGGACAGGCTCCAGAAGCCATGGAAAAAGAGGTACTGTTCAATATGACTGCCTCGGATCTAAGTGCCCAGGCCCTAGATTACATACTACATATTGAGACTATCAGGACTAAGTGTGGCCGCATGCAGGGAGGCTTAAGCGGAAAATTAAAGAATAGATTGTCTTGCCTCCAAGATCTAGTAAGAGCTCTTCAAAATAAGGCAGAATCAACGGGAGATCCTAAATATTTAAGAGCTAAAATATCGCAGCTAAATGAGGAGCTTGAAAAAGAAAGGAAATATAACAAAAAGGAAGAAGCAAAGCGCAAAAAAAAAAAAAAAAAAAAAAAAAAAAAAAAGGAATTCGCAGAATTACAAGAAGTAGTCAAAGAGCTTCGAAAGGAAAATAAAAGCATAAAGGAAGAAATGCAAAAGATTAGACAAAGCCTAGAGAAAGAAAATAAAGAGAAAGAGAACTTACAGGCTAGCTTACAGACTAACTTACAGACTAATTTACAGGCTAACTTACAGATTAACTTAAAGACTAGCTTACAGACTAACTTAAAAGCTAGAAAATACTCACCAAGTATACCAAGTACATCAGGTGTACCTAGTACATCATACTTACCGGAGAGAAAGTCCCACGATAAATCGTCCTCTGGAGAGTGGTCACCATTAGATCGTCGAGGTGATAGTAATTTCCACTGGAATCTGCGGAGCAAACTTGCACCGGCAAGACTACAGGAGAAGGACTCCTGGCCAGTCGATGGTGAACCGTGGCCTACCTTTTCTTTTAAAGGAAATTCCCACGATGAGTCTCAAACGGAAGTGAAGAAGAGGAAGTTGGATGAAGAGACTTGGCCATCACTTCCTCAAAGAAAGCCAACATCACTCCCGACAAAGGGAATAAAAGTCATCGAAAATATACAGTTAGTTTCCCCAAGGTCGGAACAGAAGGTGAATCATCCAAAGGAAGAATGGACAGAGATAGGAAAGAGAGGTAAGATTAAGAAAGGACAGAGAAAAGAAAAAGAAAAAGTAGAAGAAAAGAATAATCAGCCACACAAGATTGATAACAAAGGAGGACAGCAAAGAATAGACTTTAAAAAGGAAAGGAAGAAGCTGCCCAGAACAGCAGCTATTAGCATAAAAGGAAAAAGTACTGGATTCTCCTACGCCGAGGCCTTGAGGAAAGTTCGTTCAGGGGTCTCCCTACAAGCGTTGGAAATTCAAACCCCCAAGGTCAGAAAAGGCATGAACGGAGCCACTATAATTGAAATTTCTGGCGAAGGGAATGCTAACAAGGCAGATAAGTTAGCACTCGAGAGATTAGTAAGCTCCTGTCTGATGAAGCGGTAGTTACAAGACCTAACATCAGAGGCGAAGTTAGGACCCTTGGCGTAGAGGTTAGGTTAGGTTAGGTTAGGTTAGGTTAGGTTAGGTTAGGTTAGGTTAGGTTAGGTTAGGTTCTCCTCCGATGCAGGCCACCTTGACGTGGTGGAGGAGCTTAGCCGCCCCCCGGTCTCCGGGCCCATCGGGCCCCCCACTTCGACACCTAGGTGTCGGGGGGGGCCCGGTGGGTCTCTCGGGCCCCCACCTCGACACTTTCGTGTCGGGGGGGCCCGGGGACCGGGGGACGGTGACCAAGAGCCTGCATTGCACTTCCCTCCCCGGAAGGGGAGGAAGGGGGGTTGCGCTCCCTCCGGGCACTTTGGCCTGATGCGCATAGGGGTAGGCGGCCCTGACTGCAATCGCCCGGGTTGAGGATCCCGTTAAGGGTGGAAAAACACCCCAATCCTCTCGTTTCCCCAATTCTTGTTCCTATCCTTAGATATCCTTTCTCAGCCTCTCTCACCCATCCCACCCTTACTTCCTTTTCCTTCCCATTGCCCCATGGATCCCTAATTCCTGGTGTGTGATTGTGTGTGTGAATGTGTGTTTGGCGCATCTGGCGCATCCCTTCCCTTCCCCTTTTCCATTGTCCCTTGTGTCCCCCTCTACTCTCTCGGGATGGCTCCCCTCTATCCAATAGCCAAAACACTAAACATGATGGAAGACACAGAGAACAGAAAAACGTTTACTGCTGCAACGGGCGTCGGATCCCGTAGTAGCCGGCAAGAGGGGGGTGTGGACCCTGCCCTTCTCTGGTCGTCATCCGACCAAGGGCCGACCGCTAGTTTGGCGACGGGGCTAGCGGAGAATGTTACGTCCGCCGCCACATTTACATTCTCAAGGACGGGTCAGGAGGGTGTCTCCCGTGCTGAATCAAGATCTCAGCAGCAACAACTTGATGAGCAAGAACCCTCCTGCTCGAATAGAGTTCAGGGAACTCAAGAGGACGATGATATGGACACAGATGTGTGTTCCTTTAGCGAAGATGATGCAAGATCTGCGGTGTCTGGTTTGTCTACATCTTCTACAAGATCCAGAAGATCATTGCTAAGAAAAAGGAAGCAGGATTCTGCAGAGGAAGGCTCATCGTCTACTAAAAAGAGAATCCAGGGTAGTAATCCTGGTACAGATCAAGAGGAGTTTATACATCCAGGCTCCAGATCTCCTCTTAGAAAGAAAGTTATTGGCAAACTTCCTACAGTCACAACTAAGTCTGAAGAAGAGCTAAATAGTATGACTATAGATAGTTTAAAAACGTTAGCTCTAATGTGGTTGGATCACTTAGATCAATCCAGAAATTCTAGCAAGAATCTGCAAGGTATAATAAGTAAGATTATGAAAGATCGCACAAATAGTATCCGTGATATTATTAACTGTCTTGCGGAAAAAGCAACAGGGAAAGGTGATCCCTTATACTATAAAATGCAAAATGCAGAGCTTAAAACTAAAATAAAGTGCTTAGAAAAAGAGGAGGATAAGTTAAAGAAAGAAAAGGAGACTCTAGCACAAGAAATAGAAGCTCTAGAAAAGAAGAATGAAGAAATAGAGACGAAATTGTGGCAGATAAGTAGGGATAAGCCTATCAAAGTACTCACCAATGCTGGAGGTGTGGATGCTCCTGGAGAAATTGCTATAATGTCCAAAGAAGAAGTGGATAAAATGGACAGAGAATGGCCGGTGTTAAGGCCTTCTCTACAAGGCGCTCGTAAAGTTCTTCCTACGGTTGTTCCGGCTCCAGCGAAGGCGATTCCTGAAACAAAGAAGAAAACAAGACATAGTACCACAGGACAGGATGAGATTAATGACATCTCCAAGGAAATGAAAAAGCTACAAGTTAGGAAAAAACAGCTTATGAAAGAAATGAGAGGAAACGTTACTGATAGAGAAGAAGGAACGGAAACAGAAGGAGAAGAAGCTGCTAAAAAGAAGAAGGCTAAGCCCAGAGTTATCAGCAATATCCAGCTGGCACCGCCGATAACACCTGGACCTTCTAAGGAAACCAATGGAAAAGAAAGAAAGGAAGGTGACTGGCGTACAGTCACAGGAAAGAAGAGAGGCAGAGTGAAAGAAAAAACAAATACACAAGGAAAGAAAGAGGCTAATAAAGGGAAGCCCCAACAACCCACTCGTAAACCCCCTCGATCAGCAGCAGTGACAGTCACTGCCAAAGAGGGACTCTCATATGCGGATATACTTCGCCAAGCAAGAGAGAAGATATCGTTACACGAGTTGGGTATCGAGGCCTCTAAGATTAGGAAAGGTATAAATGGTGGTCTCATCATTGAAATCCCTGGTAATAATGGAGTACAAAAAGCTAATGACTTAGCTAATAAATTGAAAGAGATACTCCCGGATGACGTAAGGATTAATCGTCCGACGATTCGTTCAGATATGCGAATAGTTGGTCTTGATGAATCTATTACAAAGGAAGAAATTAGATCCAGGATCGCAGATCTCGGTGGATGTAACGAAGATGAGATCAAAGTTGGAGAGATCCGATGGAGGCCCAACGGCTTAGGAAACATATGGATCCAATGCCCTCTATGTGTCGCTAATACGATTATGAAGACTGGCAAAATAAAGGTCGGATGGACCGTCGCCAGAGCGGAAATATTAACTCCCAGACCGCTCCAATGTTATCGATGCTGGGAAATCGGTCACGTAAGATATTCGTGCACATCGAGTACTGATCGGAGTCAACATTGTTATAAATGCGGAAGCAGTACACATAGAGCTTTAGAGTGTGTTGCTACAGCTCCAAAATGCATAATATGTGAAGAGAAGGGCCTTAGCTCCAACCATAGGCTAGGATCTCCCGTATGTAACATGATCAAAAACACTACTAGGAGTAGACCGCTTCCAAGATTAAGGAAAGAAGAGTTGGAAGCTAGAAATGCTAATCCGGATCGGAGGACAACGGAGACTAATATGGAAATAGATCATGCTGCCCTCCCATAAGATAATCCAATGTAATTTAAATCACTGCTGGAACGCTCACCATTTATTGCAGCAGTACATGGTTGAGAAAGGCATTGCAATTGCCATAGTTGCGGAGCCCATATGTATACCAGAACGCAAGTGGGCTGGTAGTACTGACAAAAAGGCAGCTATTTGTTGGAGACCTGATATATTAAGATCGCAATGCTACATAGTCTCAAAAGGAGTAGGCTTTGTCGCAATAAAGTATCATGATATTGTGCTCTTCTCTTGTTATATATCGCCTAATATAGGTATGGCAGAATACGAAGAGATCTTAGAAGAAATGGATCACGAAATTAAAAGACTTAAAACGCAGAATATGCTAGTGTGTGGTGATTTTAACTCAAAATCGTCGGCTTGGGGATCGAAACAGACTTGCCTTAGAGGAGAGTATCTGGAAGAATGGGCTATAGTTAACGATCTTATCCTAATTAACGTGGGCACTACACCTACCTGTCAGCGATCGCAAGGTGAATCGATCGTAGATATCACCTGGTCGACTCCTAATTTATTACGGCATATTCAGGAGTGGAGAGTAAGAGAAGACGTAGAGACTTCTTCTGACCATGCCTATATAGAGTTTAACATAGGAAATCAGGCTTTGAGTCGTGAAATAAGATTTCGTCAAAAGGCGAATAAAGAGCAATCCCCGAGATGGATCTCCTCGGAGGCAAACATCGAGCTGATGGATGAGGTCATAGAATGGCAATGTAAGCACTTCAAAGAACGCACGGATATAACGCAATTAAACGTGAATGAAGCTTCATCATGGATAAAAGAGACTATGACTCAGGCCTCAGACGTGGCTATGAGAAGAGTCAAAACGCCTCCAAAGAAAAAGCAAGTCCATTGGTGGAGCAACGATCTCAAAAAAGAGAGGACTCTTTGTATACGGAAGAGAAGAATATGGTATAAAGAGAAAAGGAGAAAGACTAAAGATCCACAAAAGATTAAAGAGGCAGAAAATAATTATAAGATGCAAAAGAAGTGCTTATCTATGAAGATATTTCATGCGAAAGAGGAAGCATGGAAGCAGCTAGTCTCTACAATTGATGAGGACCCTTGGGGTACCCCTTATAGACTAGTAATGGGGAAATTACGACCTAATACCCCTAATCTCACAGAGACATTAAATCGTTCGGAGTTAAATGCATTATTAACGGATCTATTCCCTAGGAATAAAAGGAAATATAAGTCTCCCATTCTCCCCATAGTCTGGAAAGAAGAATGGAATGTAACTGAGACGGAAATTTACAAGAACATTACAGAAAGAGTATGTACAACGACAGCTCCCGGTTTGGATGGCATCACGAATAAGACATGGAAGAGAATCCCAGATTGCATGGTACAGATTTTGGCCGGAATTCTAACGCAATGTCTGAAAAAAGGAGAATTCCCTTGTATATGGAAGAAAGCAGCCCTTGTACTTATTCCCAAGGGCACAGAGATTACCGAAGGCTCCATCAAGGCTCGGCCGATTTGCCTAATTGATGAGATAGGTAAATCGTTTGAGCGCATATTAGTGGAACGTATACACGCCTGGATGGAGGATAGACAAAGAGACAGATTCTATATCCTGTCGAAGAATCAATATGGCTTCCGTAAGGATAGATCCACTACGGATGTCCTTATGAAGGTCAGAGGATATATTGAAAAAGAAACAGGCAAAGGAAATACTGTCATAGCAATTAGTTTGGACATTAAGAATGCTTTCAACAGCATTCCTTGGGCAAGAATTCGCGAAGCCCTTTATCGGAAAAAGTGTCCAAGATATTTGCGGAGAATGCTGCATAGCTATCTATCTGACAGACATATTCAATATGTAGATAAAGAAGGTAAAATACAAAATCTGTCAGTCGAAGCCGGTGTCCCGCAGGGCTCTGTCCTCGGTCCACTATTATGGAACATCGGCTACGACTCGGTATTACAATTGGAAAAGGAACCCGGCTGTGACACATTTTGTTACGCGGACGATACTTTAATAGTAGTTTCCGGAAGAACATTCGACGTCGCTCGAGAGAAAGCAGGCATGATGTCGGAAAAAGTACTCGATAAAATCAAAGAGTTAGGACTACAAGTCTCCATAGAAAAAACAGAAGTTATAGCCTTCTATAAACAACGAAGGAGGCCACTTAAAAATGCGACTATAAGTATAAGTATAGGAGGTACGGAGATTCCGATTAAGTCAACTATAAAGTACTTGGGGATAATTCTAGATTCGAAGCTAACTTTTGAAGATCATTTTCAATATATTGCGCAAAAGATCAGGAAAGTCAATCGAGCACTATGTAGGATCCTCCCTAATTTGAGAGGTCCTCATGAAACGAAGAGAAGGCTGTACGCTAACATAGCGCAATCGATTGCAATGTATAGTGCTCCACTTTGGAGTGATAAGCTTCGAAAATCGGTAAAATCACAGAGATTGTTGGCTGGCGTACAACGTTCTACAGCCATTAAAGTCATTGCTGGATATAAGACTATATCATATGACGTAGCAACAACGTTAGCCAGAACGCCTCCATGGCTATTAGTGGCGGAGAAATATCATAGGATATATAACAGAATCCACGATGCGAGAAAAAATAATACATGGTCGAAAGATCTAGTTAAGGAGATAAAAGAAGAAGAAGACGACACCATGATGGAGAGTTGGAAGTCAATTCTGGAAATGACAAATCTTCCCGGTGCGGAATTGAGAAGTTCAATTGCTGAATCCTTCAATGAATGGATGTATCGAAACTTTGGAGGAATGAACTTCCATACAACTCAAATTTTATCGGATCATGGATGCTTACGCAAGTTCCTTTATAGAATTAAGAAGGCAGACTCACCTGTATGTCTATACTGTACAGACATGATAGATACGGCGGCACACACTTTACTCGAGTGTCAAAATTGGCAAGCAGAAAGAGCGGAACTGATGCAAGTTCTCAACTGCGCATATACTGTTAAAGAAGTCGTTGCAGCTATTTGTGAGGACAAAGAGAAATGGCGAGCATTTAATCATTTCGCTAAGACAGTGATGCTTTCCAAAGAAGACCTAGAAAGAGATTTGGAGAGGCAAGGATCAGAGGAGGAGGAGCACCTTTCGGCCCCTCCTCCGCAAGTACCTAGTCAGTCACAAACTAGACGCAGACGCAGACAACCGGATAAGACTTATCCTCCTAAAAAGAAAAGAAAGAAGAAGTAGAAAAGAGCTGCACTAAGCAGCATTTCTGAGAGTAGTAATGAAAGTGAAGGGCAATAATAATAATAATAATCTCTCTTTTGAGTAGACTTAGATTAGATTTAGAGTAGTTATAGTTAGCTTAAGTTAACTCAAGAGTAGTTATAAGTTAATTCTAGGGTAGTATAAGTCAGTTAGTTATAGATATAGATTAATATACTTAGTAATATTATTTATTTATTTATTTATACTTACTTATAACCAAAGATAGAAATAGGTCGATATATACTAGTTTTCTACATAGTAGATATACAAGGTGTATTCACCTATCTTTAAGGAAAGAATTGTAGAGGTAGGCATACCGGATTTCGCGATGGGCATACTCTGTATGCATAGCCGCATGACCAGAGGAAGTAATGCCGTAGCGGTTCCTTCTGGCATGCATGGACGTGTAGGCCCAATACCATCCCGGGCCTTTCGGGGGGTGGGTTTAGCTGGTAGGCGGTGGCCTAATTACGGGCCACCGGAGTCCAGCAGTACCCATGGGGCCGGCCCCATGGGTCTGCGTCACTGCATTCCCACCTCCCTCCCCGTATGGTAATAAAAAAAAAAAAAAAAAAAAAAAAGGTTAGGTTAGGTTAGGTTAGGTTAGGTTAGGTTAGGTTAGGTTAGGTTAGGTTGGTTGTTGGTTCGGGGCTCTGGACGGAGCATGACGTGGTACGTGTCGGAGAAATTTTAAAGTGAATTTCTTCGATAATTCGCGACGCGGAGAGTCTTTTTTAGGCTATGCCCTAAAAGAGGGAAGTGCTGTGAAGTGCATAATATACGGGTTTTGCGGAGGGACGCTGACTGCACGAGAAATAAGGGTTTAATCGCGGCTTCGCCTTGCCACCTCATATTGATGACGTGGCACTCCATACTCTTCAACACTGATATGTGCGAAGAATAGGTAGTGAACCTGTCGTTGGCTTGCAAGAAGTGATTCGACCGTGCTAATAGAGACATACAATTAATGCCTATTATCGGTAATTAATCCAAAATCGTTAAAGAAGTGTTTAGTGACATTGCCTATGTCTTTGCCACGTGGCACTTGAGGTTATGTTGACGCCTAGGGATATTGTATTGTGGCGCCATCACGCCACGTGGCACTCTGAACACTTGTGAGATTTTGAGATTCTGAGGATAAACTGACTTATTGAAGTGTCGTGGTGTGGAAACTAACAAGAAGTGATTTGATTGTGTTAATAGAGACATATAAATAATGCCTATTATCGGTAGTTGATTAAATATCGTTAAAGAAGTGTCTAGTGACATTGCCTTTGTCTCTTGCCATGTGGCATTTGAGGTTAGGTTGGCGCATAGTAATTTTGGCTTGTGGCGCCATCACGCCACGTGGCACTTTAGACTCATGTGAGATTTTGAAATTTTGATGGTAAACTGTCTTATTGAAGTGTTGTGGTGTGGAAATTAATAAAAAGTGATTCGACTGTGCTAATAGAGACATACAATTAATGCCTATTATCTGTAATTAATCAAAAATCGTTAAAGAAGTGTTTAGTGACATTGCCTATGTCTTTGCCGCGTGGCCCTTGAGGTTAGGTTGGCGACTAGGGATATCGTCTTGTGGCGCCACCACGCCACGTGGCACTCTAAACACTTGAGATTTTGAGATTTTGATGATAAACTGACTTATTGAAGTGTCGTGGTGTGAAAATTAACAAGAAGTGATTCGATTGCGTTAATAGAGACATCTAAAATGCCTATTATCGGTAATTGACTAAATATCGTTAAAGAAGTGTCTAGTGACATTGCC